CAAAATTACTAGCCCCTTTAAGCTATATTTTTTTCCCGATAATCTACAGAACAAACCATCATTATTCATTAACTTGCCTTATTACCCTAACCTGCCTAGTTAACTTAATTAACCTAGTTAAGCCTTTAAATGTCACTTTAAGCTGTATCGAAGTGTCTTAAAAAATATCTAGTAAAATATTATTTACAGTCATCCTGGTCAAGATAAAATAAATCAGTTATTAGAGATGAGTTATTAAAATTATTTTGTTCAGGAATGTGTTGAAAAAATCTGCTCTTCCTTAAACAGAAATTGGGGAAAAAATAAACAAACGGTGCAATTATTTAGGGGGGATATATATATATATATATATATATATATATATATATATATATATATATATATATATATTCTGCTACTAGCTAGATTTTAAAATGGTTACATTTTTGAGCACTGATCCCATTCAGCTTGCCATTTGTCGAGAATACAGCCTTTTACATCAGATAAAAGCGCTCATACCATTGAATATAACTGCAGATGGTGTGGACATGCAGATGGACACAGAATACATGCAGATCACAGCCACAGATACACCAAAACGCTTCATTTATTTCCTCGGATACATTTCTGGCATTTTAAGCCGACATATTGCACTTTGGTCCCTGGCTTTTGTTTTGATAACCGGCCAAAAAGAAGCGTTTCCAAAAAGCTGCTAGCAGAAGAGTGTGAGCGCGCAGACATCAGTCGGCTGGAGTGCAGGAGCTTCATTATCCATTCTGTGCGTGAGCTCCTGCTCCAGTAAACCGCCTCGTCTCCCATCTCCTCTCGCACGCTAAACGAGTAGGAATCAAATGATTCTGTCCACCCCAAAGACCCCAGCCGCGTTTGAAAACTCACTGTGCAATTATTTCCAGCTCGGCTCGCTTGGCAGGTATATACTGCGCTCTTTGTAGTCGATCGACTGTTTACGTTTGAACTCTCGAGGAATTTTCAGAAAGGCGTGTAATTATAACTCATTTTCATCTCAATTTAATGATTTTTATTTAAATTAGAATATGCAGAGCAGCTCGCGCACTCAGTCGCTCTTTCATTCGGGCTCTACCGTTCTAACAGATCAGGGTTTAATTTTTGAATCTAATTTAATTTGATTAAAAAACACGAACTCTGCTGAGTCAAATTTGAACTGCTTTGAATCGACCTGAAGCAAGTCACATTGATGAAAAGGGATGCTGAGGGAAAGTTGTGTTTGCTGTGTGTGTGTGTATATATATATATATATATATATATATATATATATATATATATATATATATATATATATATATATATATACACACCTTCACCGGCCACTTTATTAGGTACACCTGTCCAACTGCTTGCTAACACAAATTTCTAATCAGCCTATCACATGGCAACAACTTAGTACATGTGGGCATGTAGACATGGTCAAAACGATCTGCTGGGTTTGACAATATTTGAATGGAATCTGAAGGAGCAATAAAATATAAATATTGAGAAGATCTCCTCTATAGTATGTTGTGCATTGTGCATTCAGCAGATCTCCGGGTTTGGCAGGAAGAGTTTTAGCCTAGCTTAGCATAATTC